TCTCAGGGGGCAGGCGGGCATATATGGATGTAAGCGCTCCTTCAGGTAACCAGGACCCAAGCCGTTTAGGGCTTTATAGGTCATCACCAACACCTTGAATTGGGCCCGGATTCAGTCGGAAGCCAGTGAAGCTGACGTAGGACTGGAGTCATGTGAATATGACACCCAGTCCCCGTCAGCAGCCTGGCAGCTCTATTTTGAACCAATTGAAGTATCTGGACCATCTTCAAGGGTAGCCCCACGTAGAGCACGTTACAGAAGTCAAGGCGGGAAGTCACCAACGCGTGTGTCACTGTCGCCAGGCAGTCGTACTCCAGGTAGGGGCGCAGCAAGTGCTTCTTCTTCTTGGAGTAGATAAACATATTTGGTAGTTCTGCAGTAATTAATTTGAGACCCAAAAGAAGTCGTCATGCCATTAGAATGTCTTAAACCTGTTCATGCCAGCTTTGGCAAAATACAGCTTATCACTATTCTAGGTATAATTATAAGGAACCTTCTAGTTAAATCAGTGGTTTCAATGCTTTTCTTCATTTTTACAGCCAAATATTCTAGACAACAATGAGAAGCTGACTTGAACTGAAGGTTCAAGATTAATTATGAAATTTGTTTCCAGATGATTTAAGAATCCCACTCTGCTTCATTTTAATGTTTGAAAAGAAAGGGGAAAAAACCACTTTAAAATAGGATGCCCTTAAAGGCCAATAACATTTGCTGGGTCTGGGACCACACAATACAGATTGATTGACTGATGGATGGATTGAAGGCCGATCTCAGTTTATCACAGGTGCTAAACCTGAAAGATGAGGAGAATATTCTTAGTACAGTTCTACAGCCACTCCTGGCTTCCAGTTGCATGGATCTTTATGGTAAACATTTGCAAGCACATGTGTCACTTTTATACTTTATCACTTTGTCTTTAAGAATCTTGGATAGATCTCCAAAAAATGCAGTGTGCCTGAGAAATGATCCAAAATTAGGAATGGATGAACACACTGTTCTCCTGCTTATTGTAACACTACCTTGAAGTTTCACTTCATTTCCCATTTGCAACTGTGCATCTTTCTTTGTTTCATTTGAATAGTAAAAATATTGAATTTCAAATGGGAAAATGCACCTTTTTCTCCATTGACTAAAGTGAGCATTATTTGAACACAAATGCTAGTTGGGGAATTGCTGAACATTTTCTAGAAAACATTTCTTTTTACTTATTTTTATTGTGAATTTTGCAATCAAAGCCAAAATGTAAAAGAGGGGATAGGGGAAATAAAATATACGATTGCCATTATAGTTAACATTACATAATACCATTACATTATATTTAAGTAAATATATTACATGCATATATATACATTTTCATAATATGTGGTCTCCTGTTTGCATTTACGATTATGAATGGGACATGCTTGCATGATTTCTGAGCATAAACATATTCTTACACCTGTATCCAATTATAATACACACAATTGTAGAAAAAACTTCTCAAGATTTATTTGCCTCATGTATATTCATATTTTTTTTACTTCAGTGTATAATATCAAGACCTGAGCATATTGCAGGTCTTGAGCCAGGCAGGGATTTATCCTGTATGCCATCTTTGAAGTCTACACAAACTAGCAAACATAAATCAACAAACTGCAAGATATTTCTATAAACTGTCAACTGTGTTCTGGCAGGGCAGGTAATGCTTATATAAAGACATTCGGTCAGACTAGCTTGACCTTAAGGCCATCTGCAGCTTGCTCCTTGCTTTCCTTTTCCATGTCTAGTGCTGCACAGAAGTAGAGTCTGACTCACAGAGTGTCTTCAGAGAGGAGAAATGTAAATTATTGACTGAAAATGAAGGTGATAGGTTGGGATGCTGAATCTCCTTCAGCCCGAAACTTCTGTTTCTTAAAATCTCTCAAGGGGTACCTTTTAGTGAAGAGGAGGGCTAAAGGCAAAGGAGGCCTAGAAGGTGTGGTCAACCTACCAGGTTATATCATATTGTAGCTTCAAAATGCAGTCTTTTGTACACAGAAAAAAGGAACTTTCAATATGCCCTGGCCAGCCATCTCTCTTTAAACATTCATAGGATGGCACATAAAAGTAATTAATGCTTGTAGCTAATCCTGAAAAGAGGTATTTCAACATTTTAAGATAGGGAGAATTGCACAACAGCCAGAAAACCATCAGTTGATCGGTTAGAGGAAAGGAAGTGAGGTCAGGTGGAAGATGTGTGGCCATATGAGATACCCCTCCTAGCAGTAGATGGTACAAATGGCTTTCATTCCATCTCAAAGTTACAGAAATGTCATTGTGCTTGGATTGTACTATCTTTTCAGTTACCATTGACTTACATGAAATTCATAATAATCCAGACCTACAAGTCTGGAAGAGTCTCGGTCAATTTTTGCAGTCCGCTGACAACGTAGCAAAACATATTTTTATTTCTCTGTCTCCTTCAAAATTAATTTTCTGGAATTCTTTTAAGTGGGCTCTCTGTTTTATACATTACCCATATAATCCTGTTATATCTGACAGTTTGAGTTAGGTCTTTCCATTAAATGTTACACTCAGACTTTCTATTTTCCAAAATGTTGCAGACAAAGGCCTTACTTACATAAATAAACTTTTACAGTATCCTTTCTTTAGCTAAAGCAGTCTTTTCCTTTCTCTTGCTCATCCTGATGAAAGTTCTTTTATGGAATATCTTACCATTATTAAATATAATTCATTTAATACTACATTTTCTTTATATGTGCATGCATACATTCAGCCTGGGATTTTGCTTCAGTAATCCCAGGCCAATTTGTTTGCTGCTTCTAAAAGTCAGCATTGCATGCACCACTCTTTGTGGTGACTTTGGTATGTGCTGAGAAAGGGCACAAGAAAGCCCAAGACTTGTTTCTCTGCCTCTACCACACGGAGAACCTGTGTACCAAAGGACAATGTTAAAATATGATTTGGCATTTTACCAAATAACCAAATCATGCCAGTTCGGTGCATTTGGCTATTACCATTATTGTTAATCACTGAATGTTATTAAAGAGAATACATTTATCCCTAGAATTATAACAGGAAACTTCATAGAATTGCAGCTTAGTACTGTTCACCCCAAGGCTTTCTTGTATTTTTCTTGATGAAACAACAGAGCTAGTGGTTTTGTTTTAAACACTCGTGCCACACATGGTGTGCAGAATCCCCAGATGAGATATCTTGATAATTCTGAGCATATTTAACTTATCCTGTATGTCAGTGAAACGAGGAAGTACAGCTTTTCATGTGTAACTGCTTGTCCTGCCACCAGTCCTTGCTTTCAAAAGATGGAAAACTGCAGTTTGTAAACCTGGAAAATCTAATACTTAGTACCAGTTGTATAGCTTCTCACATGTTAGAAGAATGTGAAGCGCCCGTGGAGATTTATGTAGCTGCTAAGTGTGTTCCCAGTATTGGTTGTTGAGACGAAAATAGAAAGTTGACTCCTCCCCTTGTTCTTTCTTATAAAGGCAACTGCATCTTTGTGGAATTAATACTGTGGAGAAACAACTACAGAAAACATTGAATCATGTTGATTGAATTAAACAGCAGCTATACAAACTAGACTATGAATTCATTTGGAAAAGGGCTTCTGAAGTCATTAAAACTACATTTGAAGATAACAAAAGGATAAATCAAGAAAAATAGTCTTTGAAGCTATTAAACTTCAAAAACCACAACCACTAGATTATCAGACCTTCCTTTTCTGCATATAATCATGAGTGCTTTGGGGTCAGGAAGTAGGACAATTTCATTTTTGATTGTAAAGCATGAGCGGATGCACTTCTTGAAGTTCTGAGTGTGGCACAATATGTCCACCAAAAACATTCATAAATTGTCAAACACATACTTGCCTTTCAAATCCTCAGTTAAATTTCTGAAAGTTCAAAAGACTGAATCAGCATTGCTTTAAGTTATGAAGGTAATTTGTGCATTCTCCCAGTCAAACACTGCTCAGTTTTTTTCATATTTCCTAATTGTGTGGAGTGAGGAGGCTATTGTGAACAGGAATTCGGCTTGAGACTAATAGCAAGACAATATTCATAGAATCTTGAACATCTCTGGCTTACCCATCTATAACTGAGGCTGGTTTAGATTCGTATCATAAAAGCATGGGATGTGATTTTTCTCATTTGGATGCAGCATCTTGCAAGGCTTGTAACATGGTTTTTTCCAGCAGTACAAAAAGCTTGTATACAAGTTAATGATGTCCCCAGTACAGCTGAAAGATTTCATGCCTACTTGGCAACAGTAGACAAATCTGCAGTTCATAGGTTTTATATGGTGAAAGTAGCAGTACAGTGGTGCCTTAGTTCACGAACTTAATCCGTTCCAGGACTCTGTCGTGACCCAAATTGGTTGTGAGCCAAGTCAAATTTCCCCATAAGGTTCAATGTAAATAAGGTTAATCCGTTCTGCAACTATTTTTTTAATCACAAATATTTGACAAAATGTGACAAAGAACAACAAAGATCGTAGCCATTTCCCCTCCCCCCCCCAGCACAACCAGGATTGCGTCCTTCATTCCTGCAGGAGCATAACTGCGATCAAAGCCATGGATGCGTGAGCGCAGGTGCGCTGGGGGGGGGAGACGGGTGCGATTGTGGGTGTGCTGTGGGGAGACAGGCGCGATGTGGGTGGTCACCCGATGCAGAGTTCATGACCTGAGGCAAAATATTTCAGAAATTTCTGTTTGTGACCTGATTTGGTTGTGAACTGAAGCATTTGTGAGCCGAGGTACCACTGTATATGTGATTATGCAGTGAAATGCCATTTTTCTGGGTTCCCCACCCCCAAACTCAGTATTGTTGTGTTATGTGCTGATGCACTGCAAGAATGAGTGTGTGTCACTTTTTGCAAGGTGACTGATTACATAGTCTGAATATGTACTATCCAGGCATTTTTCAGTGTTGGAAGGAAGTGCAATGCTGTTGCCGTTTCATTAACAGGAATGCCTCTCTTCTTCCCCTTCTCACCCTCAACAGTTATCCTGCTGTATGCGACTTCCTACAGCACAATAACTTATTATCTATACTCCGAGCTCATGAAGCCCAGGATGCCGGGTAAGTTTTTCCTTACTCCTTGAATAAATTGTGTTCTTGCACACCGCTTTCACTGTTTTTCCTTTCCCTCTCTGCTGATGTGAAATATTCTTTTCATTACCCAAATACAGGGAGAGGCCCCACGTGTAGGGTATAGAGTATTGGTCAAGTATAGGGAGAAGCACCATGGTGTGTCATAGATGCTTTGCAGTACAGCTCTTATATGTTGTCTAAAATGTATATAACAATGCGGAGAAGAGGGGAACTATGTTAGCTGCCTTAGTTCCCTGCCTTGGTGGTTTTTAAAATGTAACAGTAATAAAATATGTCCCAGCCAGCAAGGTTGATGGTCAAAGATTATGAAAGTTGTAGAGGGCACCGTTGCCTACCTCTGATTTAGTCTTTCTAAGCAGTTGGTTGAAGACTGACTTTTCCAGCTAGGCTACTGCTCTTCAGAGGTGTTTCTTGAAATATTCTGCAGCTCTGGTCCTGCAGCATTGAGAGAAAATAGGAAGGGACATCTAGCCATTTTCAAAGTAATGTAATTTCCAGCCATCTTGGAATTGTATTCCCAGATTTTAACTATGGTTAACTGTTGGTGAGCAAAAATGCACTTTGCAAGGATTCACATCTATTTATGTTTCTATAAATATCTCAAGATACAGTTCTGGTATTCAAAGTAGTTTTGATGGCCCTGTGCTCAAATTAAGGTATACTGTGATGATATAATTAAAACCAGGGTTTTCCCTTGTTCAGCTGGTAAACAGCAGGAACGGATATATCAGCTCTTTACAGCTTGTTAACTTTCCAGACCTTCAGGGCTCTTTAGAGAGACACAGTTTGAATCAGGAATATATTTTCTAGGTCACTGCAAGGAAGTGCAACTCCATGCTTCCACTTTACACCGACTAATGGCTAAATTACAAGTAGTTTTGCACAAAGGCAGATGAAAGAAATTTAAAGTGTTTATTGACCTACAAAGAAAAGAAACATGAATTAATTAATTAAGACTATCTACAGTTAAGTAGTGCAACACCTATTTTCCTTTCATTATGTAGTGATGTACGCTGTGTATTCCTGTTTATTATTTATTTAAGTAGAAAGCTTTCTTGCAAGGATGTGCAAGGATGTTAGCAATACTTCATGCAGCCAAGAAACACCCGCAGTAAGTGAAAACAAGACCTCCTTCAAAAGCAGATTGTGTAACAAAAACAAGAGCATCAACCAGTTAGATTAGCAAATGACTGTTTAATTACCTGTATGATGGAAAACTATTAAATAGGGTACCAGAGATTAATTTTTGTTTATTTATTAGATTGGTAACTCCCAACTAGCAAGACACTTTGTAATCATAAAAACAAATAGCAATACTAACACAGTAAGATTACAAAATAGTGTAGTATTGATCATGAAAACATAAAGATAATTAAAATATTGAGAAGCCACCAGTAAAATTAATAAACAAAGTGTCAGATTAAAGAATAAACACCTGCCTAAAAAGGGAACAGTTTTAACCAAAATGTATAAAATGGTGATACCAAGCAGTTCTCCATGGAAAGAGCATTCTGCAGACAGAAGCCTAAAGCAGAAACAGAGCTCCTGAGCAGATAGTTCTTCAACTAGGGCAAAGGAACAGAGAAGGTTTTATCCTGTGTTTCCATGCACACGTCTCTGATAAAGGTGAGATTCCAAGAGAATCTTCAGCTGATCTCTAGGGTTGGGCAAATTAATACAGCAAATATGATAGTTTGGTCCCAAACCATTAGGTTAAGGGCTTCAAAGATAATAATGAGCACTTTTAATGGGTCATTAGGCTGCGAGCTTTTGTTAGATTCTCTTATTTTTGTTGGAGTATCCCTAACGTATTTTCTTTTCACCAGAAGGACCTCTGTGTAAGAAAATAAAAGGTGTAGAGGAGGAGCACACCTCTAATTTGGAAAGGCAACATATGTTAATGTCATTTTTTTACATGTACTAGTGTACATTGATTGTTTAAATTTCAGAAAAGGGGCAAGTAAAACTAGTGAACTGTTTCCAAATAAAGTTTTTATAAAGAGAAAGTTGTTGAGAATTGTCTGTATCTCGTAAAAGGGTAAGATTAGCGGTAGAGGAAATTGTTAGAATAAAGAGTTAAAATATATCCTATAATATACCCTTCTCTAGTGCAGAAATCTAGTCGCATGACAGGCCATGCCCAAGTCCTTCCACATACCAGCACATTATATTAGTTTCTCTTACCTTGTACTCTTGAGAAGAGCTGGCAAACTAGGAGCAGGGCCGGTTTAGAAGAGATATTGCAGGCAGTAAGGGAGAGACATTAGTTTGGTTCACAAGTTTTCTTTAAACTTACCTAATTTCACACCTGTGAACCAATATGTGCAGCACCCCCAGTTGTACTCTGAAATGTGCACTTCTCCCAATTTTACAATAGAGTTCTCCAATTAAAAGAAAAAATGTTTTTAGATATATACACAAGGGAAAATGCACACAAAAGTACAGATACCATTATATTAGGACATTGCTTGCAAAAAATTGTATTAGGCAAATAGCATACAGAACTGCATGTACTAGGAGATGTGTGTTAAAATGTTTACAATTTTCATGCATACATTTTGTAAAGGTCAAAGTTTGGGACAAACTGAATGTTAGCTTGAAAAAATGGAAAACCAGAAATGACTTAAATGTCCATCTGTATTTGTAGTCTTCTGCTTTGTTGGAAATGATGTTGTTGAACATGCTCAGGGAAATTTTTCCTTGCTATTAGTTTTCTTCTCTCTTTCTCTGTGCTTTCTTGGAAAGAGGTTGGAAAGATGTGAATTCTGATTGCAAAAGATTATCTGAAAAAGTTGGCAAAAACTGAGGCTTTATATGAAGGGTGCAGCCTATCCATCACAAGGAAAAACACTGGTGTGGAATGATCCTATTTGTTCCAATGGTTTGCTGTTTTTGCTGTAGCATACAAATATGACACTGCCAAAAGGCAACCAAATACTTACGTTCCCTGCAACCAGGGGTTTCAAGCTTCCTGCTGCTTTCTGTGCTAGAACCAACAATCCTGTGCTGTAGAAGCCCTGTACATGGCAAAGGACCCTGCAGCATCTTCTAGGGAACCGCAGAGGATACCCTAAAACTGTCAGTACTCCCCAGTGACTGGCTGTCTTTCAAGGAAGTTTCTCAATAACTGTTTCTCGAAGAGGAACCACAGGATACTCCATAATGCAGTTTGAAGTTCACCACCTTTAAAATTCATTATTTACTCATCTACCGTGTTTGATTCGCTCCTGATTAAAATTGAGTAGCTGAGCATTTAAGTCTGAAGTTTAGAAGCAGGACACTGGGGAAATGTATATGCAAGACAACACTGAGGAAAGACAAAATCTTCCTAAGTCTCCTTGGTGCTAATATTCCCTTTTCAGGATCATCTTTGGCAAAAGGATAGGATGCATAAACAAGGCATTTTGGCCGCTAAGATTTGACACTGCGGACAAATACTGAATGATACAAAGTGACCAAATAGCAAAGATAATTGTTATCCAGAACAGAGATCTCAGGCGGAGCACCCCATGCACGCACGCACGCACGCACACTCGCTCACTCACTCACTCGCATGGCTTTTCAGTCCATAATGAGGATCTCAGCTTCTTTTGTTTGAACAGCTGCCTTCTCCTGTGCAGCACTATAAAATGCTGCAGACATTTTTCAGGCATTCAGCAAACCAGACTGCTACATTAAATTGATTAATTAATATTGGAAGGCTCACCTGGCATACGAAACTACTCACATGGTTTCTGCAAATACCTGTACTACATATGCCTGTAAGATATCACACTTGATTGTATGCAAAACCTGATAGAACTAAACATATATCATTACTGATGAATCCAGTTCTTCCTCACGTTGCATTTTTATGTTAACTGTACAGAAAGCCAGATATCTAGAGAGAGTTCCAATGTGTTATTAGTATAGAAGTAATAGGATACCTGTTTTTACCATTTTGCTGCCAAGAATTTCTAGAGTTTTTATATAAACAAAGGAATTAAAATTTAGCATTACTTTGCTTCTTGCTAGGGAGAAAATATCAGTTTTGTTGGTTTGCTTCCAAAGTTCTGGGAGTTTTCATTTTCATTGCTGATCAACTAAATATAGGCCAGCTGAGACAGTAACGTTTTTGTCGCCACAAGCAAATGTAAATGTGAAAAGAATTTTTTAGACATGAATCTGGTTATTCAGTGGCCTGCACAAAATACAACTTCCAGTTTTTTTAAGGGTAACTATTTCCATGGAGAAGGGATAGATCATAAAACATTTAATATGTTATATTATTTCTGGTGTTCTGGAAACTTGGATCACTTCATTTACATACATTGTTTTGCTGGAACACAACTTGTGTTTTTCCAAATGAAAACAATGAAAGCTATCTGCAATCAAAAATTTCATCCATTAATTTTAAGAGGATTTGGGCTGAATGTTGAGGCTTAAACAAGACACGATGCTTTTCTCATAGTTTCCCAGGGGTGCTAGATTTAAAAATAAGTAGCCAGTGGAGTAGGGCAGGGGGCAGAGAACACAGGCAGAGAAGGGGGCACCTTTTGCCCTCACTGTGGTCCACTTAGGTTCAGTTCACATTCCAGAACTATTCGCAATACTAGGAGAACAGGCCAGTGCAAATGCTGTGACAGATGATAGATTTCGGTCTGTGTTTGCAGTCTGTCTAACATGCATTCATGCTTCATTGAAATAATATTAATTGTGAAAACAGTACTTGTTAAGTTGCACCAAGTGACTACAAGCAAGCATATAATTATGTATATGCAAATCACATTGAAATCCATGTAATGTGCATCCGCATAACTGTATCCATAACAAAGTCTAAATCAACATTACCATACCAGCCATTAATGATACTAATAAGGTTACTTATGCGATTTGTCGTAGGTATCGTATGTACAGGAAAAGCCAGACAACAGGCTTCCCTTCACTAATTACAATTTTTTCAGCACCAAACTATCTAGATGTATACAATAACAAAGGTAAGAAAACTTGTTTTGCTGAAAACAAACTTTCTATTAACTCACTGCCTTTCTTTTGCATTGTTTACCTCAACTATTGCTTTTTTAACTTTTCCTGAACTGATGGTTGATTTTTATTCCATTGTTTGAATTTATTAATTTATGTGACTGGACAAACTAATATTAAATGACAATGTTAAGTTAACTTTGCCGCTATTATTATGTCTGAAATTTATTAACGCCATCCAGCATAGCTGCCCATAATCCCCCAAACTCAGACGTTTATGGGCAGCCTATTGAGAAAAGGAGTGTAGAGAGAAAGGTCCTTTTCCCCAGCATGTGAGAAAAAGCCACCACCAGAATCCAGCACATCCCAGATGAGGCTCACTTCTCCCCTCCCCAACCACAGAATGCCCACCAAACACTGATTCTTAGGTTGGGTTTCCAACCTTGAAGCTGCAGGCTGTGTGTGGCGAACTGTGCCAGCTGCAAGGACAGATGGAGGGCTCATCAAGTTACTAGCCCTGGCATCAGTGCACATTTCAAAAGTCAGTGCTAGGACTTGACCTTCCTCATGGCTGTCTAGATGGCCATAAGATTGCACCCCAATTTGCCATTTACAGATGGGGGCTATAGGAAAATAATAGCAGCAATAATATCAGGTATATCTGATATATGTGACACTGCAACAGTCACAGGCAGAGTCGGATATGCATACGGTTACAGCTCTGTTTCTCATTTATTTAGACCATTTCTATGCTGCCCATTCACAAAAAGCCTTGGGGCAGCTTACAAAATAACTAATAATCTAATAATAATTAGACGGTATTCTTCATCTAAACAGTCCAGGTATATAGACAACTGTTACTTCCTTATGTAACAGAAATTTGGAAAAGGCTTGATGAAATGGCACTTTCCAAAAAAGTAAGCATCTAACACTAGCAAATCAGCATTCTTACAGACACTGCATCTGTGTGTCTGCGTCTTATTAATTTATGTTAATGGCACCCTGAGGCACTGTAAAGGGCAGGACATACATACGTATGAATCTAGCTGAAGTGTAAGTTAGTTAGGTACTGGAATGCAGGCCTGGCTATGTTCTGTGAGAGCAAACATCTGCTCATTAATCAGCATTGATGTTATAAGGCATCCTTTGCCCATTTTTTCTGCCAAACCGTACAAGATGGAGGGTTTGCCCATGAAATGGAAGCTATCCATGGCCTACACCCGTACAGCAGCAGTATCATTCTGGTATTGTCAACATGTTTAGTATTCACTCAGGTCCATAAATCAGATGTTTTGTGCATATACTGCTTTCATATATGGAAGGCAGATGCATTTTTATTCGCAAGAATGCTAATAAACTGAGATCTGATTAAATTTTGATTTTATATGAAACAACGTAGTACAGCATTGTAAAACATGTATCAGTTTGTGCAGCAATATTTATGAAACTGAACATTTTGTAGTTTCTCTTTAAAAACGTAAAGTTATTTCTGCATGAACTTTCTATTGCTCTGTTATATATTTTTTAATTTGTCACAGAATTGGGCTTTTCCATTATATAACCTCTAGATGGCACAGTAGTATAGCAGAATAGCACAAGTGAAAGTGGGGATTCCCTTTTACATATAACAACTCATTTTCCCTGCTCTAAAAAGACTTGCCAGAAGTACTCTTTAGACACAGAAGCAAAACTGGAGATCACAAGATCATCTAATGAACCCATAAACAACGATGAGTACGAATGATGGACGTACCATAAGTGCTTCATGTAGAAGAGCTCAAAAGCACTCTATTTACTTTGAAATATCCATCATTTATTACAGTCAGTTGTAGATTTAAATCAAATAATTTTTAATGACACTGTGAGACAGAGTGGTTTTTGAGCTATAAGGTTTGTTCTCTCAAACGAATTGCAATCCCAGTTAATGGCTATAGAAATGTGAGGAGCTGAAAGCGAAAGATTAATAAGGAAGCATGCATTAAGCCTTGTGAGAGTTTCCACTTACGAGTCTATTGAAAAGCACCAATTACATTAAATAAATTGCAGTTAGGCAACTGATTTAAATAAATGTGTGCAATTTATGTTAGGTTATTGTGCTTAGATGAATCAGCAAGATGTGGACTGAGAGGTATACTTGGATTTGAGTGTATCTCCATCCCTGGATGTTCAGGATCAACCTTCCTCTACCTGCTTCCATCGAGAAGTGTCGTCTACACTGGGGGGTTTGCCCCCCCCCCCAGCTTTTTAATAGTATTTCTGAGGTACAGCAGCCAAACTTTGCGCAGTATTTTAAGTATGGTCTTTCAGGAAACCATCAATCAGGCCTAGAACTCATTTGCAGACAATTAAGATCTGGAAAAGCAGGACAACAACACTATAGTGAAAAACACAGTAATGTACTTAGAATTTTGCTGCTGTTATTGAGTCCCAGAAACAATTAGATCGTACAAATGCATTTGATAATAGAGAGAATTAATTCTAGGAAGGACTGATACATTTTTTTCTGAAAGCTTAATGGGCAGCATAATTATCATTTGTACAATATTTGAGAATTGGCAATTCTTAAATGTTATAGATTTAACTGCACAGCAGTGCCAGAGGAACACACTGAACTGTGTATTCCTTTCATCTGTTCTTTGCTTTCAGTTAGAATTTTCGTAGCTGGTTCTTTTTGCATTCACCTGTTATAAAGTATGTGTTCCCTTCTGCTTTTTGGATAATGACTAAGGTTGCCTCCCACCCCCAGCCTTTAAAATAAAGCTTTTGAAAAGCAGTTTAAATTGTTGTTTTAAAGTTACTTGTACTTGAGTGCAATATCAGCAGTATAAATTATTAATGTGATGCAAGTTAAAGAAGCTTTTAGATTCCCCAAATGAATTATTCATTTCATCACTCCATAGTTTTTAAAATCCCCCAAAAAATCATGTTTATAGCCAACTGCTCTTTAAGTAGGATTTTTAGAAGTTTCTAAAGCAACTTTTACTCTCCCTCCCCCCCCAAAAAAAGTCACCAATGAGCTTTCATAAATTATAAGGATTAGATTTAATGTTTAGTGAGGTGACTAACAGATGGATTTCAGGGTCTCATGCACATACTGCATTAAATACCTATGTTTTAATTTAAATATTAGCAGTAGGGTAATATAGGTCCTATCATTTCTATGAATATGAACAGAAAGTCTGCTAAAGCTGAGCTAAAGTAAATAAATGGAAAATGTTAACACATATCTCACATGTAAAGGGAACCGCAAGCCATGTTTGCCTTTTCTAGAAAACATTTTTGCCTTTTCCGTCCTAAAATAACATAATGTTAAAGGCAAGGTCGAAAAACAACATATGTTCCATTCTTTTTATATTTCCTACACAAGTGCAGCAGAAATCTGGATGGTTCACACTGTGAGTAGGGGATGTAGGTGCGAAGATATAGTTGGAATCCAGTATTATGACAAATTCTTAGCCACACAAAAATGCTGTAAAGTTTTACCTCTGTAGACTCTGTAGACTTGGTGGGATCGAAGGTTGCGCTACACATAGCGGGGCAATAGATCTGCAGCATCTTTTATACTGAGCACATTTCTGCAAAGGAGGGAAAGCCTGTTCTTTCCGCACGATTTCCTTCACAGAGCAAGCAAGAGCATAGAGGGTCACTTAGATTGCGTAAGTAGCATGGTGGAGGACGGAAAATTGGGCAACTCCTCTTCCAGCTCCATGGCCACAATCTGAATAAGACCCTCCTGGAACTGCTTAAAAAAATCTAGAGAACCTGTGACATATCATTTACCACTTCAATGAGTATATTGTGAAAACTCTTTTCTGATTGTATTAAATTGCATTAAAATTGTATTTTAATTGTATTAAACTCAGTAAGGCATAAATAGATCTGAAAGTCCTCTTTGCTGTTGAAATTGTCACAACTTATATAAGGCATATCTGTGATCTGGGGATAGTTTATTAAGTACATAATCCTGTGCAAAGATAGGCAGAAAAAGCCCTTAATTCCCAGTATTTGTCACCTCGTATGCCTGTGATTTTAGTAACTTAAGTAAATGAGTTTATAATAAAATAGCATGTGAATAAAAATTGCCTTTATAAATAAAACTGGTGTACTGACCCACTGCATGGAGCTTTGAAGTAACTGTTTTATACCTATTTTAGAATATTGTGTTAGCTACTAAGTGGTGCTGAGTTACAAATTCAGATTTCCTTATGATTAATACCTAATTGTATCTGGTATCTTATATTCAAAGCATGTGTTCTGCTATTGAGAAATGGTGCTTTCCCATCAAAAAGAGAAGCATCTCTATACCATCAACATTTATCCAACAAGTACTGAACTGTATTACCCCAATACAACAAGACATGTAATCTGATAGAGAACATAGAACTGGAGGAACTAGCCAGTTTTTGCATACCAGTTCTGCTGATAAAACTTGGTAGTATTTTATGCAAAGCTGGAAAGACTTCTGCTACAAGAGATAACTGTATTCTGAATAATTCTAGAAGGAGACGTGGCAGCGGAAAGATTTAGGACTCTTGGCTATATCCATTGAATTTCAAATTTTTATTCCTGTCCATAATGGTGGTAAATAGCTATCCGTCTCCAATATGGCTCGGCTACACCTTCCTAGCTTTTATATTTTACTTGAGATTATGTCCATAGATTGTAAGCATCTTCTCTGCCACGGGCTATATTCTGTTTCACCAGCAGCTGCATGGTTAGTCCCCCGTTTTCCCTTTCGCTGACTCCCACTTTTCTCTTTATGCCTCCTCTTTCCCATCCAGCAAACAGATAGGGAAGGGCTGCTCTTAGTAGAGGTCTGAACTGACCACATGCAGAGGACTTTTGAAATGAGACTGAGGGCCACATGAAATGAGGCCAAAGACTACAGGTTAATCAGCTCGATGTGATCAAAGGCTGTCTGGGTTCAAACCTAATACTGAACTATGAATTAGTATTACCTGAATGTGATTCAGGTAATTCATAGTGTTCTACTGTCTCCTCCCCTCATGTGTTCTGATTTCCTTCCTGACTTCCAATTAGTGACAAACCATAGTTTGATCAGTTCGGACACCATTTCAAACTATGATTTGCTACACAATTGGAAATCAGGGCAGGTTGAAGATGGGGGAGTAAGGGGTCTGATGCTGACCACACCTATCGTAGCCACTGGCACATTCAGATGTCATATTAGTCCAACCTGATAATGAAACTTGGTGTGGCCAGGCCACACTGAACCCAACAGATGAAGGACCTAACAACAGATTGTTGGCAACCCCTTCCACGAAATGAAATTAATTAAAAAATTAAATATTAAAATTATTTTAACTATTTGAAAATCCCACTTTGATTTTGATAGCTACCAAATTTAACTAATCCCAAAATGGGATAGCTTGAACTTTTGCATTTTCCCAAGATGGTAGAATCTCAGGAAAAGGTTGAACAGTCAAACCCAGCCCCCTCAAGGTGCCACTTCAAAGGGACAGTCCGCAGCACCAGAGCACGGCCTTCATGTCTCCAGGAAAAATACCATGTTTAAAGGAGAGAAAGACCTGGTGCATCTGAAATGGCTTATAGAGCCTTGGGGGCAACTGGCACTGGCAGGGAGGCAGAGCTGCTTGGCTGGGGTAACAAGGGGTTCTTGCTGTTCTGGGTAGGGCAGGGGCTGCATGATTACCGGCAAGCTTTTCTGTACCCAAAAACATATTTCAGATAGCCATGCAAATTTTAAGGTATTGGGGAGAAAGCACATATTTTATTCTAAAAAATGGATATTAAGATATTACGGGAATAAAATTTATACTCAGCTGTAACTTTTTTCAGTTCCTGTTGTCTGCATGAAGGCCATTTTAGTGAGAGATTGGAGACAGTCACCAGCATTGCTTTTTGCATGCGCCACGTGCTGAGACAGGAAGAGGACACAGTATTGCAGTTCTGGCTTCTTCATGCTTCCCCCAAGAGACCTGTATAAAGGTCTTAGAAGTTGGGGATTCCTGCAGCTCTGCAATTTCCACAGAAATGAACCAAATTAAGAGTTCTTTTCTCTTTGTGAACAACTTAGGCATCCACATCCTTGATATACACTATTCTGAGTGTGTTCAGTAAAGAACAGTTTATAAAATATAAATTAATAAATAAATAAATGTACAGCTGCAGTCTTCAAGCTTTCTCCCATCTTTAGTTAATCTGGGGGCCTATTTCTTCCTCTTTCTACAATAGATTTATTTGGAGATAGTGCTGCTATTGCTCTCCTGTTGCAAATCTTTATCCAACAGTTGAAGACTAGCTCAAGATGGACAGCAAGTACAGTTTTCAACTGCTGTATTTCCCAGCTCCAAAATTGAGAGGCTCTTGCTTTCTGCTGAAGGTTGAGATTTAATCATACTTAAAGTTTCTGAAGCATATTCTGAAGGATTTCACATGTATTATCTAGCTGTAATTATTACAGCAACCTTGCAAAGTAGGTTAGTGTTGTTAAGACAAATAGAGCGACTGAGGTTGAAAGAGTGTTTTGTCTGACAGTGGCAAAATTTCAACTGGGACTTGTATCTCAATCTCTTTGAGTGGAATCCCGAATTTACTCTAAACAGAAACAATTTGTAGATTGCTAGCTTGCTGGCTCAGGAATGCCAGAAGTTGTAGGATGGATTTCTCTCTAAGCATGCATCGGCTGTACATTTAGACACTATTACACAGCAACCCCTTTAGTTTTGTACCAACTTAATGCTGATTTTAAAAAATGTCTCAGTGCATGTGTTCATTTTTCTTTTGCAGCTGCAGTATTGAAATATGAGAACAACGTTATGAATATCAGACAGTTTAACTGTTCTCCTCATCCATACTGGCTTCCTAATTTCATGGACGTTTTTACCTGGTCTTTGCCATTTGTTGGAGAGAAAGGTACATAAACTGCTACCTGTGTGAAAATGGTTTCTCTGTGGAGTAGGATGAAGAATGGAACTTTTCACTACAAAAAGGGCTGGTACAGCTGGCCGTACAACATACTGGAAATGAATCAGCCAGGCCAGATATGAGAGAGTTTGCTTTATGATGCACAAAGCAATACAACCAACATAATGACCTACTTTGGTTCCTAACTTTTTTCTTAATAGGAATGATAGCAATGCTTTTTTTAAAAAACTGTAGCAGACAATTCTGAATTTGAAACACATTCATCTTTTAAATACAAGTTGTTTAAGGTTTAGCTTATCCCGGAATGGTAATAAAATTCAACATCATTTTTCAGACTCTTACATTAGGCTTTTTTTTCTGAAAATGATGGCCCTCCTTATCCTAGATCACTCCATCAATACATTTTCCTGCATCACTTCCAAAACTCTTCAGACAGAACTCAGAAAATCTTCCTAGTTTGAGAGCGTCTGTACCAGCTTAAACCAATTATAGTATGGTAAAAAATATTTAGAATAAGAGACAAAGCAGGTCAACAAGATGAAGACAGGAAGTAGTTAAAGCTGACACGGTTTTTTTTTTTTTTTTAAGTATTAGATTCCATGCAATCTTTCCTTGTAAATAAACCATGCCTGCTTGTTTGGAAGACGTTTTTCTTAATCCTAGGGCTTGAGGAAATTCTGCCATTGATCCCACATCTACAGAAAATTAGAACTATCAGCATGTGGATAAGCACCTTTTCTATGGAACTGCCACCTCTTTGGAATTCATTTACCAGCAAAGCTTACCAAATCAACTCTTTTTGATTTTTTGCCACCGGCGAATGCATTCTTATTTTTCCAGGCTTTTAAATATTTTATATAATTTTATTTCTGGCTTCTACATAATTGTTTTTTGCCATTTCAGGCAAGTATGTGTGTTCCATATATTAATAGTTTTTTTAGGGTTCTAAACTGGCCTGAGTAATGTTGAGTTCACACCTAAGGCACAGTCCTTTGTTTAGACATAAAAAATCTCCACAGCTCTGAGCATTCCTCAACTTGCCAAAAGTTTTTGCAATCTTTTCTGTTTAAACTTGTATAGGATTGTGCCCTAAAAGCATTAAAAATATATTCTGAGCTTGTAATTATTCACTACTCAATGAAAAAGTGCAAAGTTGTGCTTCTAGGTCCTTATTTTTGTATTACTTCTCAAGTGAGGACAATGACTAAATGGAGCTGCAAACCAATTCTGGAGCTCAAATTCTGCTTAGCCTTAACTCAGATGAGATTCTGAATATAGAGCTTCCCTGGACTGGTACACAAAATGAGCTTGTAGTGTTAAGAAACCCATTTGAGTAAGAAGCAAAAATCCCTAGAGGGTGGGAAGTAAAACAAAATAAAAAGTTTCTAAACCACTGATTTCCCAACTCAGAACCTATGTGGAATTCCTAGATTCCTGGAGAAATTTCAGCAATGGTGGGGTATTTCGTAATACAGCAGAAACAACCAATAGGCCTGCTTGTCGGTATGAAGTCAGCTTGTTGATGTGATTCATTTTGTTTGTGAGAAAATTAATAAGAAAAATTAGTCAGGAATAAGGTTGTTATTATCTTAACCAAGTAAATATAATATAGAACAGTTTTTGAATGTAAGATGTACCAGGTAAATAAGAGCGCAAGGGCTAAGTATATGGAACTAGTAAAAGTTGAGTTTCAGACTGTTATATATTTCAAAATATTAGATATTTCATTCAATGTATTTGCATTTAATCATAATCATGTTCAGTTCTGATTAGTTACGTAAAGCATTGTAACGGTTCAGAATTATTTTAGCCCTTAAGTATAATCAATTATGCATTCCTTTCTTTTCCGTAAATCCATCACTTTAAAGTTCGGTTGCTTTGTAAAACATCTTCTTTTGTAGTCAACTCAGTACACTAGAATTACCATAAAATGTCCAGCATTAATAAGATGTGTGTAATGATAGAAAATCCAGGCACAGAACTCCTGGGTCTTGCTGCAGTTGGTGCTGCCGTGAAAGGCATCTACCTGTTGAAGTCTGCCTTACATAACACTGTCATTATTAAATCTGCATAGACCACCATCCACCCATTACTATAGAAGAATTGGCTTTAAGCACAAGCCCCTAAGATTTAATTATATATCTAAAAATGTGATGTGTGGATGCAAAAAGCAGATAATTGAAAATGATTGTATTATAAAGTCTACACATCAACAAACAAATGTCCACAGTCCCTGCTCAATATATACTTTGTGGAGAAGACAGATTTGTGTCTGAGTAATGTGTGAAACAGTTCTAAGAATATGGACTGTATTCCTCTTTTTATACAGCTCAGCTTATAGTTGAAGATGCCTTATGAAGTAGGAACAACCTCCTTTAAGCTGACCTCTATATAGTCATTAAACACCACTTTTCTGCAAAGCATAACAGCTACTGGTACAAAGACTCTGAACTTAAAAGATGCTGTTGTACATTTTGTGAATTTTATGAAGTATTCCTATAGATAGCAGTGCCTTTTTCCCATTTTAAACTTTCCTAGGTACTTAGCTTTTATCTCTCCTATCCTCTCCTCTTTTTTTCTTTGCTAACTTGCAGCACCCAATTACCTCAGCCTTTTGCCTAGAAAAATGGGGAGTGTAGTCCCCACTCAGCCATGGAGCTCACTGGGTGAATTTGGGATATCCGTAGATTCTCAGTCCAACCAACTTCACATGGTTGCTGTAGTAGGATAAGTTTGAGGAGAATTATGCAAGCCCCCTTGAGTAAGGAAAAAAAGTGGAGTACAAACATAATACACAGAATACATAGCAACATTTCAGTAGGTATAGTAGAGAGCCTGACCAAAACTGTTCAACTTGGACTGACAAACCAAACTTCTAAGAAAAGGATGTCGAACTTTCTTTTTGTAGTTCAGAGTCTGAAACGAAGGAATGAACATATCTATACTTTAGATTAGGAGTTTTACTTGTGCAATGGTTTTGGCAGTGAAGAGTACTGCATCTCCCTTATTAAGCACATGAGATCTTGGACCTGACTCGTGTATTGTGAAAATAGCATAAAAATTCTGTGCTATCAGGCTTATGCTATGCCAAAGCTTTTGTGTCCTGACTGTCATTAGTCTACTGCACTGGCAGTGTTCTTGTGAGGCCCATTGGGTCTGTCCAGTTCTCTCACATTCTCTCACTTACTTCCTTTGTAGTGACAGAGATGCTGGTCAATGTTCTGAACATTTGCTCAGATGATGAACTTGGAACAGAGGAAGACGGCTTTGATGGTAAGATCCTTGATCCGTTCGCTGAGGTGGTTTGCTCTGATTAACATTTGTGCCTGAAAACGATCTTTATTAATCTGAAGGCAAGCCATAGAGAGGGTTCTGGGAAGATCTCTCTGGACTTGTTTTCTTCCAAGCTGCCCGAAACAGTGTTCTTGCTAGATGATGATATGTTTGCCTTTGTGCATGGTTTGTAAAGAAAGAATGAAATATCTGTCCTTCTCAAACCTAGATAGTACTCATTACTCAGCTGTCTTTTTCCTACCCATCCTCTGTATTGCCAGTCTGCTAACTATAGAAGGCCCCACTGTGTAGACTAGTGCCAGCCATTTATGTGACCAGAAGGATCTGGAGGCCCACAATCCTGCTTAACAGAACAGTATCAGTAATGCTAGGCCAATTATGCTCCATTATTGTAAAACAACTTGCATTCTCAAAGGGAAGTTCATCAAATGTAGCCCTGTAGTGGCGTACAGTCATGTGCAACTTAGCTATCTCCGCCTCCACACCCACACACAATCACATGCCACATAATCCAGACAGCTCAGCCAAGTGAGTCAAATGACACCAAATCAGAAGCCATTCAGAGAGAGTGCCTTCCTGACACGTTTTTGTAATCTCACAATATATAACATTAATTACCACAATATATGGTTGTGGTAATCACTTCAGTTGACTTTTTAAATGATTAGGCAAACATCATAGCTGTATCTCAGTAGTGATCATGTGACAATGAAAATGGGTCCACTTGTTCAGAAACACTTTGCTTTTGAACTTACAAGAGATATTTGGTTGACCATTTCAGTAGACAGAATATTGAATATAGAAAGACCAAATTATCAAGATATCCCTTGCTTTCTGTTCCAAAGATTCTCCTTTGCTTTGGTGACCAAAGCAAAAATCCTAATTTCCTCAGTGCATCTAAAGCTAAATAACTAGGAAGAATAAGTAGAAGTATCTTATTCAGGATTCCAACAACTTTTCCTTTCACCCCGCAAAAAACCTAGGCTTCACTCTTTCCCCTCTATCTTGTACATCATTTTTCCAAGGGACATTGAACATTATTTGGCTGAGTAAGCCCACTCCTCATCAAGCTGTTTTCAGGAAGGGTGTCCCTGAAGTGGTATTTTAATGAAAAATGGCTGATTCATTTTGTGAAAATTCATTGTGTGAAATGAGAGAGAATGAGTAGCTCAGCTATTTGAGATAATTATCATAATGCCACCATAATAGATCAAGTTTGGGTGGTCTTATGTTGCAGTTTGTATTAATTAAACATTGAAATTTGGAGCAAAGTAAAAGAATAGGCATTTAAAAAAAAAGCATCAACTTCTTTTGTATCTATGTCTATTTTACACCCTTTCAAAACAAGAAGAAATATGATGCAAAGAGAAAATTTAGGTAAACATAGGTAGAGTTTGGGTGGTAGAGGTTTCAGTTTAAAAAATTCATTCACAGTGGTGAAATAGAAGTGCAAGTTTTGCTACTACAGTCTATTTGCTTTTCTTGGTCTTTTGTGTCACCTAGGACCATTGGATTATGCTAACAAAAGAAATTCAACTCACATGGAACCACTGTTAAGCTTTAATAAAATAAGTTTGGAGTGACCATTTATTTATCACCACAAATTATACATATTTGAAATGAAAAGCTGAATACATTAATTTGTATATGCAACTACACATATAGAAACAATTGCTATAATTTAAATACCCTTACCATGCATCTCACTGTAATTGAAATGATTTTGACCCAAGAAACAGGGGAAACAAATAATGGACTGCCCTCCATAAAGTAGGACAAATAGCCACACTTAAATGAGTCTGAATTGAGGATTGTAAGAAAGCTATCTTACACTTGCCAAGTGTATACATCCTGATTACAGGATTTTTTTTTAATTTAAGAAATGCTATCATATAAGCTAGTAATTGTACTTCATTGTGTTGGCAAAGATTTGTCTATTATTTCTGTGGGACTTTCAGTACACAAAGTAGTTTATAAACCATACTAAAATCTACCTTAATGGGCCTAACTGAATGCCTGCATTTTAATAGAATAATTTTCATATCACTTCTTTAGAATATTTCTTTCCCTAATTGCTATACTTAGACTACATTTTCCCTATTTTAAAGGCCTGAGACAGGTTTTGTTTCAGCCTTGAAGACTTATCAAAAGTTTTCTGAAGTGTCTTTGTTAATTTTAAATCTGTTCTAGGATAGCTTCTTTGGCTTTAATGGAACAACTACCTTGCTTCATTAAAGCCAAATGGAGCTTTGAACCTTGAAGATGCTGCAAGAACTTCCGCCAGCCTGATGCCTAGGGATGCACCAATATAATCAAATCCATTCTATCTGTGTTTCATTCCATTGTCCACTCAATGACAAGATTAAATTATGGTTTAAGGATATATGATAATCCAATTCCTTTTATGCAAGTGCATACCAGCACTCTTGTGCATGTGTAAATGCACATGTGCACAAATTCCCCGAAAGTAGGAAAAAATGGACTGTGGAATTCATATGACACAAAAGAGGCGAGTCAGCTATGGAATCTGCATTTCAAAGTCATAGAAATTCTAACTCATTTGAGTCCATTGTGGATTTCCCCAGCCTCCCTACCAGTGGCCATCAGATGTTTTGGACTTCAGCTCCGAGAAGCCCCAGCCAGCATGGTCAATGGTCTGGAATATAATTCTAAATGCTGCCAGGTTGCAGAAAGCCTACTGTACAGCCTGAAGACTTTAATCTGAAGCACACTGACTTGGGCTAATGTCATGGATGAGATATGCATACCTGAGTCTGATTGGTATAAAATCAATTGTTATAAAGAGAATGAAATTAAGTGACCGAGATACAATCTATTAAAATAAAACCAAAATGTATTGGAAGTTCTTATAAAAAGTGAAAGCCATAATTGGTACCCTTTTATCAGTTCCTTGAAAGAAAGACCGATATTTTTCAAACTATCCAAATTTGTGTTCTTGTTCATAGTCTACAGTGCTGAAAAATGATATTCCTGCATTTCTACTAGTTGAAGAATATGTAAACTGGAATGCCATTGCCTCTGGAAGTCTAATGCACAAAGTAAACCTATTGTATTACCTTGCTGTCACACACAGACACTGGAAAGTGTCAATACTCTAACAGAGGAGTGAATGATAAGCCCCTGAAGCAATTCTATATGGCTCCTTGCAATCTACACAATGTTCAAGGTGTGCTCTCCTCCTTGAAAGTAGGTAATAATTAGCCTTAAAAGTAGGTATTAATTAAATAAAAATAAAAAAATAATTTTGAATAATAAAAATAACTCCTATCAGAAAAAGAAAAATTATTTCCTACTGATTCTATCATTCTTTTCTTCCCATGCTCACCCAGCAGAATGCAAAAGGGTCATTCCAAGAACCTATATAGAGGGAGAGTCAGGGCAGAGGAAAGCTGGGGAATTGGCAACTTCAGGATGCAGTGATGGCTACCAGTTTGGATGGCTTTAAAAAGACTAAATCATGGAAGAAAAGGGCATCAGTAACTGCTGCAGGAGCAGAGCAAACCATATTTTGCTTGAATTCTGTCGATAAAGGAATCTGCATTTTGAGTAGCCCAATATATAACTATTCCAAATAGCATATTTGCCACAATCAGAGTATTTAAAAAAAAAATCTGCTGCACTAGATGTGCGGAGTGTTTTGACACTATTCTGCTTGACTGATCGATAGTGTAGTTTCAGCCCATGGGGCAGAATCCTGTCTTGCCACTTCACCTCAGCAAATTCTGTTCCTCCAGCATAGCAGTTCCTAAAGAAACTGGGAATCCTGACCCACCCCATTCCAGATATTAATGTTTCAGTTCACTCTGGTTGTTAATTCTCCGTTGTGTTAGCCATGGGTCTTGCATTAGAACAGGAGCCGTATAATATTTCTTCTTTGACTTCACACTCCTTAGCCTTTTTAATCTGAATGGCTGTGACAGCCAGATTAGCAAACAGTTCATTCTTTAGCCATATGCCCCACTTAGATAGCCATTTCTTCCACTATTGTGCTACATGGTCTGCTAGGCACCTAGGACAGAATAGACACCAGTTGCAAGTCATGGCGTCAACCAACAACATGGTGTCAAATGGCTTGTGGAGGCAAGCTGGTTAAATAATAGTGGCGACAAAGAGGCCAAGAATGAGACAGGCATTGAAAGAAGAAAATAGCAGGAGAACCACCAGTAGCCCATGGGGAAAAGGATACCAAATTGCATTCGAATAATGACCTCTCAGCTTGGCAGAAAGAGGTGCTTTTCACAAAACTAAATTCGAAACTATATTTTGCCTCAGCTTTAAGAACCTGTAATGTCAAAGTACTGAAAGAGAGGTAATAAACAATTTTTATTGAATGAAAGTAAGGCTTGGGAATATTGAACGCAGAGGAGGAGAAAGAAGACCAAATATGAAATAGATTAATTCCATAAAGGAAGCCATAGCTTTGAGTTCACAGGAGCTGAGCAGGGCAGTGAAGGACAGGAAAATTGGGAGGCAACTTGTTTATAAGCTTGCCGTACATCAGAGACAACTTGACAACTTGACAACATGCAACAACAAACAGTTGCCATATGTTTTAAGAGGAATCACTGTCAATTTCTAGTGGATATGAGTAGGTTGGGGCCTGGTGGTTAACAAAATGAAAATGGGCTTTTTGCGATAATGCTTCCTGTGATTATTTGTTCAGACTTGATCATTTGTCTGCCTTGAGGAAAGGAAAAAGCTAACACAGATGTAAATGCAATGTATCTTAACTTCCTTCTGCTGCTTGTTTATCATCAAATAATGCTTATAGGTGGATGTGAAGCAGTACACTTCTCAGCTAAACAAATTGTACATATTGCTAGCAATCAGAACTAGCCAGTTCAACCATCTTACACCTTGATTTTGTATCCTAATTAGCAGTGTTCTTGGCTTAGTGGATTTGACTGAAATAATTAGAGACCATAGGGGATAATAATTAGAATTAAGCACTTTTATGA